AGAAATAATGTATTTTAAAAAAACAATGCTCAGAGAGCCTTGGTTTCTCATCTGGGGGGGACAGGCCTGTGGGAATCCATTCACCATTTCTAGGAGTCCCGTGACAGGTAACTACAGAAAGCAAGCCAATTTGCCAGCAGGCTGACATGTCCTCTGTAGGGATCCACATCTTTCCTGAAAATCTTCAGACATCTCCAAAAAACTGCCAAGTGACATAAAGGAAAGTGTTTGTTGCAAAAGTAGCATCAGCAATAGTCAAAGCTGGAAAAAAAAAATTAAATATCTGGCAAATACTTCATTATTCTCTGCTCTCCCTTTGCCATCTTTGGCTATTGCTGCTCTTACACTCTCTGCTCCTTTCACTCGCGAAGTGGCAGTTTAAGATGAAAATCAAAGATGTCTAAAGAAACGTTTTACAAATCCAGATCTGTCTGGAGTAGCAACGAGCCTGACCCACTGAGCCCACCCGTAATTCAAACTCAAGTGTTGCCGTCAGAGTGGTTCCAAAGAATGTTTATCAATATGGTCATAGGCGCTTTATATATGTAAAGACAAATATATATATATAAAACCTCCGGTGGTGGGTGACAATGAAGGGAAGGACTTTGCTGGCTTACCACGTGCTCGCTGATGTCGGTGTGGTTGCACACCATCTGCTGATTTTGGTAATATTCTAGCTGCCTTTCTGCCAGATCCACGCGCTGCAACAGGTTCTCAATGAAGTGCTGGAGCCTGGCTTTTCCCCGCACTTCCTTTTCTGCTGCTTCTTCCAGGAAGTGGTTGAAAGTAACAACTTCTCTGCAAGACAGAAACATTGCAAAGAGGCCACGTTTAAATCATGGGAAGGGCCCTGATCTCACTGCTGCCAAAAAATTACTGATGCTTCTCCTGTTTTTCATGGCGACAGCCTATGGTGGCTAATTACTAATAACTACCTCTATTAAGAAATTTCAACCTTTTTGTGGACACTTGGTGAAGATCTGGAACCCTGAATGCTGAACTTAAGTTTATGGGCAGTGGGGCTGAGGTTTTTTGTCATATCATTAGGTCTCTTGGAAATAGTCCTTAGCGGTCCACAGGGTAGAAACATCATTAAGCATCACCTCTCGAGGTATCTGGAGACAGCTACAGCCTCCTTATCCTCTTTTTACTTAGCCATGTGAGTATCAGCCTTGAAATATGAAGAGAAGTGGATGAACCCCAAATTCATCTTACCAGTTCATCATAACCTTACAATGGTAGCTTTATGTTGCTACTGGGGTGGTTCCCAACTTAAAAGAGCTACTGTGGCCATAAAATTTTGTTTTGGCAGCAATCCTGTGTGTATGTCAAAGTGCAGTGCTGTGATGTGGAGCTAGTGGGAGCATGGAAGATTAACAGATAATTTACAAATTACAGAGCACAGAGTATGTGTGTGGGAAGAGCAAGTTTTAGGCCAGGAGTTTAGAAACATAATGGTTGGACTCGGTGATCTGAAAGGTCTTTTCCAACCTAAACAATTCTATGATTGGAAGAAACAGATAGCACTGCCGACTGTGAAAGGTCCCAGCTCTGTATGGAGACATAGCTCATTTTAAGCACTCTGCATACTATCACTTTACTGTCGGTAATCAGGCCACCGCTTGGACCTCTGCTATCAGGAGTTTCTGGGTGGGAGAACTTTGGTTACAGAGTGAAGCACGTATTATGAAAAATAGCAAACCTGAGCATGTAGGACTTCCCCAGTTAATAAACGCCTGGATAAACAATTCTTGTTCTGCCAATTAAGCCATGTTAATTTTTGCTTTGTACTGAAACTGAAGGGGTGGGAGTTGGGGGAACCAGTGCTTGCCAAATGAAAAGGGCGTGATTGCTTGGTACAAATGCATCAACCTGAGGAAAAAGCATTTTAAGCAGAAACTAGGAAACAGTTTGTAGCAGTAAGAGCCTTTCAAAGCTGAGCTTGTTTCTAACAAATCTAAAGTTTCTCTGTGTATTTCATTGGTTTAACTCAGTATAGTTGTTTTAACAGTGAGCTGGTTTGTGCTAAGAAGAGTTAGGCACAAGTGGTCAGCTATGGAAATTCGCCATCTAGGATTCAGGCTGGGTCTGCCCGCTCTAAACACAGAAGAATGCATGAAGATGCTGCTTGCACGGCTGATCTAATGGTAGGAATGAGGCAGAAACAAGCACATATTGTTTGGATGAAGAACATCAATGAATATTAGTTTATATTAACTTACCCACAAATCTGGCTTAAGAAACAGAGAGGTACCTTGTTTGTTAAGCTCAGCTAATCCATTCCATTTCAAGACTCTGTACAGTCTCTGTGATTATTAGCTTGCCCAGAGCAACCTGGTAATAAAAAGCCCGAAGAATGTTTAAGGAAGAAGCCAATCTAAACTCATTAAGGACAATTTTAGGGCTTTATTCTCACCGCACTTACAGCATTGTAACTGCTTTGATTTCATGATGCCCCTCTGTATTTGCGTTAGCGTAGGAGCGAACCTGAAGCCCTTGGCACTCCAGCGGGCTCCTCTTTTAAAAGGGACAGGAAGCTCAAAAGAACAGAAGCTCAGCAGGTCAGCTCCAAATCCCTTACCCTTTGGGTAAGGAAGGAGAACTGTGCGTGGCCCACCAGGCCACTGCCCCTCCTGCAGGAAGGCTGGGGGGGAGCCCATAGAATCGTTTAGGTTGGAAAAGACCTTTAAGATCATCAAGTCCAACCGTTAACCTAACCCTGCCATTCCACCACTAAACCATGTCCCTAAGCACCACATCTGTCCGTCTTCTAAATACAAGGTACATGAGGACGTACCTCCCAGGGCCACCGTCGGCTTCTCCATTTCACTGCAGTGGGAGGCCACAAGCATCAAGGACTTGGCATTTGTTTTTAAAAGGGTGATAGTTTCATGAATGCTAACATTTCTAGTTGTGTCAGCAAAGGTAATTCAAAAGCATTCAGTAATTGCCTGCTCCATGGGCATGAATAAATCACCCACAAATTTTCCTTTCTGACAAATATCTCTTTAATGAGCTGTGCTATGTGGGGGACAGGAGGAAGCAGTGTTTTTATCTGGAAGACTTTGATCGTTATCAGGAGGAGAACAGACATATACCGTCAATAAATTCCCTAGTATTCTCCTTGCTTTCTAGACTACTCAAGATAACTTGGCATCCTACATGCCATTATTTGTAGGAACTGTTAGTAGGAGCAGTAGTAGCACTTCCATTGTTTTTCTCTGGTTTTTTTCAGGCTATGAACCTGCCTTCTTTAATAACTTTTATGTAAAAATTTTCCTTTCAGCTGAAATGGTACCGACACTCTGTAAATTCCCTTTTATAAAGACAGGAGCCAGAATATACCCACCCACAAGGTCTCGGTCACACGCCTTGCCCTGATAAGCAGCACTTCTGTTAGTTCAGCTACTTTCTTTGTTTCCACTTCATTCTCATCTCTCAGAAGAACAACATCAAGCCCCGAGGAGTGACTGCTAATGAGCGTCTCTACTTGCTCTACTACCTCTTCCTCAGAGAGCTCGCTCCGTGCCACGGCTATGCCTTGGTTACCTGAAGGGAGTTCTCAGGAGAATTTTTACCCTTCTCCCCCCATGAACAACAGGGAAATGGTTCAAAGAACTCGTGTAGCTTCCTGCAGCCACTGTTTATCTGTTTAATTGCTTTTCTTGTCTCTTGTAGTTTGCCCAGACTTTTTCTTTGCCATACTGATGACCCTCTCCCTTCAATTCTATTTCTAGACAGGTGCCATGGGTTTTTTTGCTTATGTTCTTTATTTTGCTTTCAAATTTATTTCTCCAGGCCTCTGCCAATTTTGGGGGGCTTATTATGATATGATTTCTATCTTTTACTCTCTGCTCTCATGCTTGTGAAAAGATGGATGTTCACAGAGGTCAGATGCTGCTCCTCATGGAGGCAGGGGACGCTGAGCCCATGAATATTGTAGGGCCCAGCTGGTAGAGGCATAAACCAGAGCACAGTAGCACGGGCCCACTGGGCTCTGTGTCTTGACAGAACAGCCTTGTCAGCAGCACTCACCTGAAACAGGAATCGTTTGTTAAAGCCCGGCTCAGACCTGAAGCGTTGCCCTTTCCAATGAGAGGTCTCTGCTACCCTGCACAGACTATTCTACATCTCGAGCACAGCTGCTATATTAAGAAAAGGTTATGTAGAGTTATTAACTCCCCTTGAACTCCTCTGCTCTCGGCATCATCTCCTTCCTGCTCTGCTCTGTTCTTCCATTTGCTCTCCACCCATCAGCCTGCAGATTCCTGCCCCTTTTTGCTCAGCTGCACCCTGGCACTTGCTGTAGCACCATAAGCTCTAGATCCTGCCACTAAATTTGCTCAGCAGAGTAGATGATGCTCAAATCTCTGTAAATTTCTGTCATGGATAGCAGAGTGGTCTCATCTGTTTGCTCATAGTTTACTATATTCACATTAAGCTATGTTGTATAGCAAAATGTTTTGTGACTGGGCAACAGGGAGAAAGGTGGGTTTCTTGCTTTGTCTCGGGTGCTCTTGTCAGACAACACCTTTCAGGAGGAGGGATCGCTGCTACTGCCCAGAGAGCAGAGGCCACATCGAACTGCCAGCAGCTTGTGGCAACAGGGTGAGGCAAGGAAGAGGGAAAGACAAAGCAGACAAGGGGGATGCAACCCGGGAGGTGTCCAAGAGGAGCAGGAGGTGCCTGTACTGCCAGACTGCCGGAGAACTCTTCCCAGCACCAGAGGAGTCCGGGAGGAATTTATTGCAGTGCAGCAGGCAACTCAGAGATGCTCAGCTCAAAGAACAAGCACAGAGGGTAGACTCACTGTAGGCAAGAAAGACTTGCTGCCAAAGCTTTCATTTTAATCTGACTCTGCCAGGGAGTTAACCTGTTTATTCAACCAGACTTAACTAGTTTGGTGTTTTGCATTCCAACTGCAGCCTAGCTGCCCTCACGGGGTAAACTGCAGGTAGCAACTGCCTTGCAACTTTTCCTGGAACCTTCTTTATGGAGGCTGTTGTCATGAAACAGCATGAGGTGTGGTAAATAAAGTTATAAATCGTAGACTGGCTAGGTGACATTTATTCTTCTGCCTTTACCACTAGATTATACACTTCTCCTTGCAGTTCTTGTTTACTGGACCCTGCGGGTACCCTTAGTATTTGTATGGCTTTCAGCAATTAAGCATATAATACACGGAGTAGATGCAGAAACGTTGGGACAGCTCCAGCTCCTGAACAACTGACAAGAAGGGCTAATGATTTCTCACATTGCAACCAAGCCCTCCTACAGACGCATAATACTGGTCTCAGGACTATTTACAGCAACTTCGACACCTGCAACTGGTCTGTAGGTGGAGACAAGCATGAGGCTCTATGCCGTTCTGCACCCAAGTATCAAATCCCTTTAGAGACTTTCATTTGGAATAACTCTGCTTAACATCAATAGAAAATGTAACGCTTTTATTATTTTATCTCAAGATAGGAAAATTTCACAAGTGATTTACTTGTGAAAATATTTAAAATATATACATTCATTAAGCATTAATGCCACTGACCTCATCCATCATCCCATTGGTGTTATGGCCTGAAGGGTGCTATCTGTTATTCATTAGGTTGCGGTTTCACATTCCTACACCACTATCAGCACATTCGATTGATGAGGTTCACACCTCCTCCCCTCAGAAAGTTATTGCCCTACCAGTTGCACACATTCAGTGGGCTGTGCTCTAGATCCAAGCCCTGAACTTCCCGGGGTGACACAGTGAAAATTAAAATGCTTCATTTCACAGGGCCGTTCTGTGGGATGGTCAC